TGTGTGTGTGTGTGTGTGTGTGTGTGTGTGTGTGTGTGTGTGTGTGTGTGTGTGTGTGTGTGTGCGTGCGTGCGTGCGTGAGACGTTTTTGGAGTACAAATGAGCTCCTTCGTAACCTGATTGCGTGAATCTGCATACTCATGGGACACTTGTGTGTGTGCTTTTACAATGTGTATGAAAGTACTTACCCAGCACGGTGAGGCTGACCTGGCTCCAGAGATACTTTCCACCAGTCTTGACTTTACAATAGTACTCTCCAGAGTCGGTCAGCAGCAGGTCACTGATCAGCAGGGAGGCGTCCCCACTCAGGTACTCCCCGGCAAAGGACAGACGGCTGGCCTCGCTCTCCGTGGCCTCGTTGGTGTACACCTGGCCTCCAAAGAAAGTAATAATCTAGACGGGGGAAAGAAAATGAACAGGAGTTCCAGTTACCTTTGTGAAATCTCATGCTTAGTTTTCACCATTATTCATCAAATTGTCTCATGAGACAAACTGTTGATGCCAAAAGCACGTCACACCCCTTGTGAAGTCCACTACTAGATGATAATCATCCTCATTATTTATCAGACCAATWAACTAGTTCTTCCAGTCAGGAAGAGCAGCCTGAGTACTTATATTTAATCACTAATCATCTCCATTTCTGACTCTAGAAATATTTGTTTCCAATGAAATCCATCAAAACAGATAACACTACTTATTACTGACATATATGAGTAGGACAGCCCAGGAATATTTAGTGGTGTCCAACACCACAAGTAATACACAGCAAAAATGCCAGTGTTAATTTAACACCTACAGTGTTAATTTTAACACCAGCAAAGTGTCTATATGTGTCCACACTCGCTGGTGTTAAAATAACATTTGTGAAAGTGTTAAATTTTAACACACATTTTTTTTGTTAATTTAACACCAATCAGTGTTTAATATTCAACAATTCTTGGTGTCACATTGACAGAAAAATAGTGTTAGTGTTAAAATATAGTGTTAACAGTAACACCAGCCAGTGTTTAATATTCAACAATACTGGGTGTCATATTAACTTTTCAACAGTGTTAAAGTAAAGTGTTGAAAGTATCATCAGTGCATTATTATTAACAAAGGAAATTGTGGTGTTTGGAAGGTTAACAGGCACCACGAGGTGTCAATACACCGTCAAACAGAGTGTAAACTTAACACTCAGACTTATTACCAATGTCTTTGTAGTGTTGCATTAACACTCAGTAGTTAGTAGAAAGGAATAATGGAGTCACTCTTCACACACCAGGACATTCCTCTCACTCATGGTGTCAATTTTTGGCCAATAACATAAACTTAAAGTTGAACAACTTGATCAAACTGAACAAGAAAACAAACCAGAACAACTCATTTTTACTCTCATGAACTTCTTTAATGGTCAGAAACATACAAAAACATCCTTTCTGCAAGATTTGAA